TGAGGTTAGAGGTTTCCACTGAATGATGCAGTCATTTCATCAGACCCCTGGCCGAGTAAATGCTCCTTGTTTGCGTGCTTGCGTTGCCCATGTCTGTCCCCTTTAGCCGCACACCTTGATACGCCAAGCCCCAGTTGCCTCGGTCAGTCGGGGTCTCCTCTGCCGTATACCGCACCTCAGCGGCCCACTGAAGCGAACCCATTCCTTCCGGGAGCTCTTCAGTGAAGTACGACTGCACAAGCTTCGGGTCAAGCCGTACGCATGGGTTGAAGAAGGGCGGAAAGCCCTGCCCTTGATCTGCAGCAGAACCGCTACCACTCCACGCCATGCAAGGTCGGAGACAATCGTCCGGGTACCAGACACCGTCTTCAGGAGATTGGAAGTCTTCTACATGGCTGGGTCCAATTCCCGTTGCGTCTGGCGTGTTGCCCAAAGACCAAAGGCGCACAGCTCCCTCGGAACCGTTGCTTTGTTGCTGCTGCCAGCTCAGGTACCTGGAATCGCGCCGCTTGACGTTATAGAAGTCTGTCAAGTCGGTTTTCAGGCGTTTCTCCGCAATTGCGTTGGCAACGGTGCCAGTGCAGGGCCGCGGCAGCAGCATCTGCTGGGCCAGGAAGCTGATGCGGGAGAGGTGGCGGAGTAGCGGCGGCATGTGCAGGAAGAAGAGCCACTGCAGCGCCTGATGGCTGGCCTTGGGTAGCGGCTGGATGACGTGTGGTGGAGCCTTTTGGGCATTATCTATCTTGCGGCTTACATCCTGCTGCTGGCTTGCGTTTAAGGCTACGGCCCGCTGAGCATTGCCCATTAGCATGCGAAGGACGGGACTACGCCCTGATAATGCAAACTCCTGTTGGAGCCTCCTACTAGTTGCCGCCAGCTCTGGAGCTTCTTCCTGAAGCCTTCTCAGCTCATCACGAAGCGCAGCGACCTCCTGCTTCTTCCGCTGCACCTCGGACCAGTGGGCCCGCACGCGTGCGTCCGCATCCTCCTGCTCCGCAGCCCATATCCCCAGCAAACGGCTGCAGCTCATTGCAAACTGCAGCGCCAATTCCATGGTAGCGGCCCCGTCATCTTGCATGGAGAAGAGCGGTTTGCCTGGAACCGTGCGGCTCTTTAAGTAGCTGCAGACACTGAGTGCTGCATCCACAGCTGCTTTGTCTGACAGCACAAGATGACGGAGGTCGTGGTAGGACCCCATGACACCGTACTCCTCTACAATAGGGTGCTCCCGGCCAGCAGCGCTGTGCATCAGGCAGTACGCCACCCACACCACCAGCACCTCCCTGCTCAGCAGCTCCACGCGCATGACCGCCTGGGCTGCGGGCGTCTGCAGGAAGCGCTGCACCGCCGCCCGGTAGGCATCCACCACAGCCTCCAGGGCGGCAACCTCACCGCTGTCCAGCTGGTTGTCAAACGCGTCAAAGCCCACATTGGCCCGCCAGAAGAACTCCTGCTCCACACTGTGAAGAACCAGCTGGGCCTCCAAGTCATCTCTGGGCTTGGCCCACTGCGGTTGCATCAGGGCTGCTTTCAGCTCTACGAACGAAGCACCAGGCGTTAACACTGGCAGCAAGCCAAGGTTGTTTCTGGCGCGCAGGTATGCGGCGCCTATCCCGGTCTCACTGCCACTAGGTATCAATGGCCCTGGCAGAATGCCGATGGGGGCCGCAGAAAGACCCAGCAGCTGTAAAGAACCTGCGGGTGGAAGCTCGAAGTTTCCAGCCTGCGTTAGCGCGCGCTCTGCTGCTGTTAACTGCAAGTGCTGCTCCGCCTGGTGGCATGCGGCCTCCAAGGCTGACATGTCGTACCCATCATCCGCCAGTTCAGCCGCCTTGGCTGCGGCTGAGCGCAGCATCTGCATGGCGGCGTTCAGCATGGTGGGCGTGGCGGTGTGTGGCTGGATGAGGGGCAGCTGGCGGCGCAGCAGCCAGAGGTCGATGTGCGCCATGGCCTGGCGGAACAGCAGGGATGGCGGCTGCTGGGGTTCCGAGGAATCACAGCAGGCACCTGCTTGCTCCAGAAGCTCCTGTACAATAGCCAGAGAAATGGGCGGGTTAATGTTTGGGTAATGGCACATTAAGCTCTGTCTCTCCTGACCCTTCCTTACTTGCTCCAATACCAACAGCATCATCTAAGTGCGAACCCAGCACACACGGCCCAGAGATAGAGCGGTGGCGTGCTGCTGGGCCAGTTCATCATCCCCGAGCGTACCTCGAACACCGCCTTGACCAGCGGCCAGCACGTGTCACGGAAGGTGTCGCCACCCGTGTGCTGCCCCACATCCGTGAAGCCGCCGCGGGCCAGGTTCTTGAGGGCAGAGACGCTGAAGGTGCTGGCGCTCATGGTGCTGGAAATGGCCTCACGCACCATGGCAAGGACCAGGCCGGGGGTGCGTTGGAAGCCATGCTGGTGGTCCCTCTGCCGCTGCTCAAGCGCTTTGCTCAGGAAGTCACGGACCTGCTTGGCTATGGTCTCGAAGTCCTCGGCGGTGTTGCCGCAGAAGACGGATGCGTGACCGCGGCATGTGCCCATGTGCTGGATACGCTGCGGGGTACTGGGGGCAGCAAGAGCAACAATCGGGGTATCAGTAAATCAGTATCAGAATCAAAAGCTTTGACGGTGTACGTCATTAGTGCACTGTCCGACCCGCCGTGCCGGGAAATGCAAGCGCTAGTTCCGCCTAGCATAGCCCAACGCTGCATGTTATGTAGTGGATCCATTCATTCTTACTCGCATGGCTTTCAGAACCTAGGCCTGCCCTAGTAAATCGGAATGAGAGCCACAGGCACTGCTTCGACTAATCAGTCGTACCTGTGGACTGCAAACTCCCACTTGTCTAGTCCAACTAGATGCAGGTCCAGCGTGTCAGGATCAGGCCGCTGTTCTACTTCCTCGGTCCCCAACGGTGGCCCAAGGGCTAGCAGCGCGCAGCCGAAGTCAGGAAACCATGCAATGCGGTTAGACTGTAGCATGTTGCTTGCCGCTTGGAGTACTTGCAAGTCGGCCCTTGAGAGGCCTGGCCACAAGAGGTCGCAGCCGTTGCCAATACCCTGCGAAATAGAAAAACAGCATTGTACGGGTGTCCGGGAAAGGGGATGTCGGGGTCACGTTCGCCGTCGTGCATGTAGCCATCTGCATGCATGTCCGTGCACGGCATTATCGTGGCATGTCGCAGGCAGCACTTGGTGCCGTTAAAAAAGACAAAGCATCATGTCCGCCTCATTATCTTAGGTTTGCCCCTTGAAAAGCGCTGGTACGACCGCGTGTGCCAGCCCCGCATGCAGGTACCTGTTCCTGAAGTGCCTGCTGTGTGAACCGCTGCATAAGGTCGCAGAAAATGCGGATTCTAGGGACCGATTGCTCGTGACTGACGGCGGCGTGCTGAAAGCTACATATGCTAATTAAGATGGACTCTGCTTCGCACCAATGCCCGCTGGCTTCCTGTTGGTTTGCCATCCGGAATATCGGCCGGCGGCCAGCTAGGTGTTGTACCAGGAAGGAAGTAGTTTATCTATAAATGTGCATACACATTGGAGTTAAAGGCTTCTGGTTTGTGTTGCTTATCGCAGGTTGGGTGTTCGCCGTCTTAATCACATATACTGAATTCCCAGGGAACGTAGGTGTGCTCCGTGCATAGTTCGCTACATCATCAAGTTGCTTTAATGGACGCGATGCTTGCTAGTAGTGGAGCGATCTAGTTAAGTCGCATCGCCCGTCGCACCCGCTTGCTGCACCCGTGATAAGGTGCCCATGCCAACCCGTGCCTTACCATGATAGGCCTCGAAAATTGAAAGCGAAGCGCTAAACCATACCGCCCAACTCAGCTTCGTAAGCTTCCTGTCTAATAGCACCTGTCCGAGGGATATAACAACTACCTAACGGAGTTCAACAGAAGTTCCAAAAAAAAGTCGCATTGAGCTGCCGAAGGAACTAGTACAATGCAGCATATGTTTTTGTGACAATCATTAAGTGCCCTTGAAAAGCTATTGGCGCACTACGCTTACTTCGTAATGTACAGGGCGCGCGGGTAACAGCAATTGATTACGGCAAACTACAGAGCAACATGCATTGGGAGAACTTAAGAAAATGGCATACGACTCGGTGTGCGCCTCGTTGCGCGCATGTCCAAGTGTACTTAGATGCGTGCATGCCGGCGTGGCTGTGACCAGACCATACACCAAAGGTGAAACCCAAGATAACCCGACCACAAAGGATGCTGGAGTGCAAGTTGAAGCATCGCTCCTTTTTAGAGGGCCTCTTCATTCCATAACCCGAGGCTACATGTAGGCGCCTGACGTACCCCCTCATCCATCTTTCATGCTTTCCTACAGAGTGCCAGCGCTGTACGATACTCCTACGATTGTGCATATTGTACGACGCGCAGTGCCAGACATTGATGCCCGCTGGTGACGCTCGCCGGGGTTATTTAGGCAAGGAGCTCCTCAGTGTGAGACCCGCATGCTCCCGGAAAACAACTAAGACAGAATTGCTTTGTCCGCTGGAGCAAGAGCGGCATGTGCACTGGAAGCTGTTTGCGCGCTCTATGCAGGCATAACCCGATGGTTACTGCGGTTCTCTAGGTATGCCTGCTGGTTAGCGGGGAGTTGTCGAACGGAGAGGTCCGGTACGGCAGCAAGGAATAGCAGGAGCTGCGGGAGTTCTGATATAGGGAAGGCATGTCAGGACGCGGGGGCTTTAGCACGACCGAGTGCGAAACTGTAATGGATTTCAACGGGTATGTGGCGTAGGGGCGACCTTCGCAGCTATAAGTATGGATGTGTGGAGACCCGTTTCCCCGGCTTTCCCCAGCTCCAAGTACCCTGCCAGCACCCCTGGCGTAGCGCATAAGACACCAAACATATTCTTGATACATGCCGCCCTGGCCTGGGGTATGGTACGTATGGGAGGGTATGCACTAAAAAGCAAGCGCAGAGGTTCGCTCGGCATTCATGCCGTACGGATGAAATAGTCCCTGTTTCAGGGCAGTGGAACCTTTAGATCGCTCCTTTCCTAGGTATCTAACATAACGTTCGTAGCCTTGATACCTCATTTTCATTGATACGTCACCTACCTTTAAAGATCCATTGCGGCGTTAACTTCTCCAGCAGCTTGTCCACAGACCTGACTTTAGAGTTCTTCTTCTGACTTGAAAGATGGCTCAACATCAGGATTGCCGCATGTATGAAGAGAAATATCCAGAAGTCGACGATGTAGTCATGGTGCAGGTGTGTGGAGCAGCTGCGACAACCTGTGCACTTAGTCCACTAGCCCCAAGCCTGTAACTTGCGGGAATGTAGGTCAAGTCGATAGCGGAGATGGGCGCCTACGTTTCGCTGCTGGAGTACAATGGCATTGAGGGCATGATCCTTCTGTCAGAGCTTTCCCGGCGGCGCATCCGCTCGATTACGAAGCTGATTAAGGTTAGTCTACATTATGAACCTTGCAAGCTGGTATGGGTGTACTTGGCTTTTGCACGTAGCCGGCGGCTGCGAATTGAAATACTGCTGCCCCGTTCACACAGGTTGGCCGGCAAGAGCCAGTCATGGTGCTTCGTGTGGATAAAGAGAAGGGTTACATCGATCTCTCGAAGAGGTGCGAGCTATTCGTTTTGTGGGGGCAACGCTTGGGATTAATCCTTCGCATCCGCCTATCCACACGTACTGAACCGGGAATGGTTGTGTGCAGGCGTGTGTCGCCAGAGGACGTGGCAAAGTGCGAGGAGCGGTACAACAAGTCAAAGCTGGTACGCGTGTCTGTGGGGGTAACTGTTGGTGGGATGGGTGTGTTCAGGGGCGTGCTAAGATGGCGGGCTTGTGCGCACTTCAAGTTGGATACAGCGGCTCGAATGGGATGGACGGCAGCCAGCACCAGGTTCAGCGCACCAGGTGGCATGCATGGAAGGTTGGGTTCTGTGTGGGATGCCGTTTAACCACATGGGACCTCGCGGACTCTTGTGGTGCGTAAGGAGCAGCTCACGTGGAGGTGTTCCCCTCCGCTTGCAAGCTGTCAGTCCAGTTCTTGGTAGCACTCATAATGCACTCATAATGCAATAGCTCTGGGGTCAGCAACAGCAGTAGCAGAAGGCCTGCCCAGACAGTGGCGTTGCACGAGGGACCTACAATGGCCGCTCTTCAGCGCGCCTGGGCTTGCGGCAGCTGGAGGAAGGCAGCGGAGATTTTTGTCGGTCACTGTAGCAGGTCATCTCCCTTCGGCACCTTGCCGGGGCCAGCCCGGCAAGATGCCGGTCACGGTCGCCTTGCATGGATCAACCTGGGGCGGTAGCGACCATGCCTTACCGTGTTCCATATACCCAGCAACAGACACAGCCTTAAGCAGCCAGGGGAGCCTTTGCTACCACCGGGGAAGCAGTGCAGTGGGCTGCCTCGATGTTGTGCTCAGATCCTGGCGCTGGTAGCAGTCAATTGTACTGAATTTGAAACAGAGCATGGGTGTTTTGAGGCGTCTGCGGAACGGGGTTCTGGCAGGGGCCCGAGCAGCGTGCGAACGTTCTCGTTCATCTTGAGCGCTCCTGGCTGACTGCCGGTCTGCCCATTCTGCCAGCAAGCCTGCGGTCGTTAGGGCCAGCAGTTAACGGATCTTTGGATTGCGAGAAGCCAACAAAGCCCATGGCTGACAGCATGAGAGCGTGGGGAAATTGTGGGTCCGGGAAGGCATGATCGGTGTGTTTGCGCACAACGGCTCCAGCGGTTACCAGCATTCAGCGTGACGGCGTCTCTACGCGATATGGTTCTTGATTCCTTGAACCTCCTGGGCCTCCCGCTTACCCTCCCTCCAGGTGCACTCCATCATGCGCCACGTGGCGGAGACCACGGGGCGAGACCTCGAGGCGCTATACGATAACATCGCGTGGCCGCTGTACCGGTTGTACGGGCACGCGTTCGACGCGTTTAAGACCATGGTCTCAGACGAGGGCGATGCCATCTTCAAGCGCCTCGAGGAGGACAAGGGAGCCGCCGCGACGCAGCTGCTCTCGCCGGAGGTGAGCTAGTGCCCATGCGACGTCGTGAAGTAAGCTCTAGTGGTCTACAGCATATGCTGTGGGCGGCAGGTATTAGGCGGACTTGGCAAAAGCCTTTTAGCTGTTTCCCCGGGTACTTTGGGTCGCAGCTGGCCTTGCATGTTCGTGGCTGCATGCACCATGGCATGACATTGCGTGCATGAACGGCTCGTGCACGCATGTGGCCCATACGTCTCCCTGCCCCTCTCCCATTACACGAACCGCTCGCTCATTGCTGCTGCAGGTGCGTGAGGCGCTCCTAAAGAACATCAAGCGCCGCATGACGCCGCAGCCGCTCAAGATCCGTGCCGATGTGGAGATGACGTGCTTCCAGTACGACGGCATCGAGCACATTAAGGCGGCCATCCGCGCGGCTGAGGCGCAGAGCACGGAGGAGTGCCCTGTGAAGATGAAGCTGGTGGCGCCGCCGCTCTACGTGCTCACCACGCAGACGTTGGAAAAGAACAAGGGCATTGAGGTGCTCACTGCAGGTGAGCTTGTAGGTGCTGATGAGATACAGCAAACTCAGGCTAGTGGCCTGTGTAATGAACACGCCTGAGCACATTGTTATCAGCACGCCTGATGGGCATCATTTTGGGTCGGATTGTTACCTGTATGCAATTTTGCTTCATCTAACATGTTTGTTCCCTCCCGCCCTTCTGTCCCATTATGCAGCGTGCGAGGCTTGCCAAAAGTCCATCGAGTCGAACCGCGGCAAGCTGGTCGTGAAGGAGGCGGCCCGCGCCGTCAGCGAGCGCGACGACCGGCTGCTCAGCGAGAAGATGGAGCAGCTGGAGGCGGCCAACGCGGAGGTGAGTTTGCTGCCGCTGGGAGTCCACGGTCTCATGGAATGTAACAAAAAAAGCGATTAAGGGATGTTGTCCCATCTTGGCTGTATGCACATAAGCTTCGTCTTGTGGCCCTTGGTGTAAGCGTCACGGACAGTTCACATTGCCGCTTCACACCGAACATGCAAACTCTGCAGGTGGATGGAGACGACGAGAGCGAGGAGGAGGAGGACGTGGGCATGGGCGACATCGATGTGGAGGCGGGCCCCGCGTTTGTGGAGGTATAAGGCTGCGGCTGCAGGATGAAACGCAGCTGAATTGTTGCATGCGACTGCAGCGGCTGTGGAGCAGGAGATTCGCGTGCAGGCGCAGAGTGCGACCTGCCGCGCAGGTTTCCTTTGCAGGAGGGCTGTCTGGAATCCGTAGGCGATGCACGGGCGTGGGTACGCATGGGTGAGGAGTAACTGCACCAAATGGACAGATAGGGTCCTGTGACCGCCTTGATGGCGGGGAAGTAGGGTGCGTGGATTACACCATCTCAGGGTGTCGCATGGTCGGTGTGGCTTGCTGCGAGTGAGTTCGAGTAGGGCTTTGTTAACCGGACGTTTTGGAGGAAAGGTGTGCTGGATGCCACTAAGCACGGAGCCTGGGCGATGCCAAGAGAGGCGTTGCGTTCCTTTCGGTCAGTCATGTAAATGCTGATTTCTGTTACCGCTTCGTTACAGAATCAAAGGGATTCGCTTCGTCCCTTTTTTGGAGGGCTTTTCCCTTGCACAGAAAAATCCTGCTAACCGCCTCTGCTTTGCTGGCAACCTTGGCTACGTAAGCTTTGGGTCGCGACCACCTCCATTCACCAGCGTTAAGGGGGGCCACAGCGCAGTGTTTGAGCACGTCCTGAATTCCTTACATAGGCAGTTCCAGCCGCCAAGAAACATATCGAAAGAATGGTAGTCCACTCCGTGCAATTAAAGCCTATTGCTGTACGTCTTAAAACCAAAACCAGTCCTCCACGTCGTGTAAAGAATATGTCCACTTTCAAGCATAGCGACAGCCGCATGGCACACAGACTACAGCACACATACGAAAGTATGATGAAGCTACTCCCCTGCTGCACTCATACTTCATAATGCCGCATTTCCATTAATAAACATTGCAGCGCACCGTCGCACCGTCTACGCCGTTAAAGCGGTCCTAATTAATCCGTCCTAGTTACGAAGTTGCCCAGAGTTCAGCTATTCTGTCTGGTCATGATGGGTTACGTCTGCCTATCAGCCTGCACAAGAATCATGAAACCTCCGAGCCCTGCCTTTGATAGCCAGCTTCGTCATCCACCCCATGTCAAGCTCTTTAGTTGTGGGGTCCACCAACTTACTATACGAACTCCTTGCATAATGCCAGCAGACGTTGACTGCTGTGGAGTCGCCCAATGTCTAAGAAGTGCAGGACCTAACTATCTCTACGGAAGCCCTACTTGCTCTTAACCCGCGTGAACAGCACACCCGCCCCCAGACCAATGACAATGCTCATGAGATTCTTAGGGTTGGTTGGCTCGGCAAATGCCACCAGGCCCACGATCGCCACGGGGATCTTGTTAAGCGCGCCCACCAGGCTGTAAATGGTGGCCGTCGTCTGCGAGAGATACCAGAGGCTGCTGAAGGAGATAGCAAAGCCAATGATGCCACCCATAGCGGAAACGATGAGGAAGGCAGTATTTTGGAGGGCGGGTTGGGACGTAAGGCCCTCGAACTCGCCGAAGTACCACATCATGCAGAGGATGGGCGGAATGGAGAGCAGGTTGTTGTAGTAAACCTGCATGTTGCAAAACGGAAAAATGAGTTCGATCCATTGCACGCCACAAAGAACTCCGAATACCCCCTACATGCAAGTCAGCTACAACCACAACCCTGGCTACCCACCATGCTGAACTCGCTCATCTGGGTCGACAAGCAATAGGACGTAGCATTGATAAGACGACGTAGACAGAAGAGGACGCCAAGCGGGTAACCACGGGCAGATAGGAGAGGAAGGACTTAGTAGCATGGAGAGCCGATGCGTTGGCAAGGTGTTTACACGCCAACAACACAACCGCATATGGGCAATCCGTACACTAGTTGCAAACTCGAGCTGCATTCGTTCACAGCTAAAACCGCACTTTCCACTTCGGGCCCTCTTCGCACTGCCATTTTTAATCCCATTAAAGCAAAAACTTAGCATGCATTTGTGATAGAATGCTCTACCTTCCAGGCATCACGTTGTTGCATACCGTACCTTTTGCTTATCCGTAGTGTGCTCTGACACCTTGTCCATAACACTGCGAAGGTAGAGGGCGTACGCCGACGTGAAGACGCAATTGGCGATCTGCCACGAGTATCCCGACCAGCTGAAGCGGACGTCCGTTGAGGCTCCGGCGACTGCAGACACCAGCATGAGCCCCAGGCATCCCCAGACAGGCCACGTGTAGCTGCGCTTGTAGATGAAGACGTCACCCATAGCTGTGGTAACGGGCAGGAAGGGACCAAGGTTAACGCTAAGGCGGTCAAGGAGGTCAGCTGTCAACGGCACAGAAAGGTTTTTCCCAGGTTGACCAAGAGCTGTTTCAACATTTCGGCAATCCCATTCCAAGACCAAATAAATCGCAACAGAATGCTCACATGGCTCGCGGGTTATCCAGGATGAGCAAGGTCAGGCGCAACCTCCACTAGACTGCATTTCACAATGGCCGCAGCCTAGATCCTCCTAGGATAGTACGCACCTGTCACGACGTTGCTCAGATTCTTCCAGACGGTGACCATGCCGACGCCGACCTCCTTGAGCGCATAAAAACTCGTCCCGATCATGCCGACGAAGATGAGGTTCACGGGAAACCATACAGACACGAGATCCCACTTGAGGGGCTGCAGCTTAACCAATCCGCACAGCTCACAAAACTTCACCAGGGCGGCTGCGAGGGCGCACTGGAAGCACAGAAGCGCGGTGGGCGCGGTGAACCCAAACGACGCCAGAGCATGCTTGTTGAGAAGAACCATGGACCCAGAGGCGCAGCAGTAACATAGACCCGCAACCAGCACGGCTGGAAGCCCTAAGATGTGTCTTGGTGGAGGATGAATGGAGGTTGTCGACGGCTTCTGCTCCAGCAGGGGCTTGCCCTCCTCCATGTTCCGTTCAGCCGACATGGTGCTTGCTTTAGTATAAGTCCGGCGCACGCCCCACATGCAAATTGAACAGAGAAGCCTTTCCTGTGACGCTATTTCTTGCCCCGAAGGGCTAACGCTTTATAGAAATTATCGACTGTAGCATCCAACGTAGACACTTATAAACGACAGTTATTAACAAGATTTGATGACTTCCCAGTCTTCCCTAACTGCTCATGCCTTCGTCGTACATTTGATTAAGTGCGATACCGTGCTATGCCCTACCCTGCTCCAATCATAAAATGTGTTGCATGTCTCCTCCCAAGAACACCCATGCTTGATGCTGATCTCGGTTCAAGCAAGAATTCATGCATACATCCCAGCAGAACATGTTTATCCTTCATGTTCTCCCGCTAACCACCTGGCCACCGTATCACATGTAGGAAAGTATAAGTAATCTGTAGACCATCAGTGCTGATGGTCGGAAACGCATTTAGGCGCGCAACACCAGGTTGCCATTTTTTACTGCACTAACTGCATACACTTAGACTTGGTGGTGCACAATTAATACCTCGAATATGCAGCAGGGCCAGCTTACGAGCTTTTTCCCCAGCACGCGCGGTGCTCCGCCCCCGGTAGTCCACCATGGAGCACATCGCTCGTTGGTGGACGTGTTGGAGCAGTACTGGGGTTATTCGGAGTTCCGCTTCTGCCAGCGGCAAGTAATAGAGTCCATCCTAGCGGGCAAGGACTGCCTGGTGGTCATGCCGACGGGCGGGGGCAAGAGTATCTGCTACCAGGTGCGCATGGCGATCCCACCTGACTGTGTTACATGGTCGTGCCTCGTGCGTGTGGTTGCTATTCTGTTGCAAGCCCAACCAATTGCAGAAGCCTTGTAACCAGCCCAACCACCATCCTCCCGCTCCACCTCCGCTGCATCTCTACCAGCCAGATCCAGTTTTGTCCAAAAACGCAGACTTTTCTACAGTGAAGTAACGAACGTTAGAAAAGGCTGGTTCTTGGTGGAATGAATATAACGACTTAGTTGTACGGCATAAATGCCTCCTTCTTATTGGCAGCTTGCCCTTGTTTTTGGCATCTGACTTTGTAGTAGCATCATCGAGTGTTTGTTAGGCCCTTCTGCCAGGGCTGTTAGGTGTAGTTCCCGCCCGCCTCCCCGTGCTGTCCGCCGCTGGCTGGCCATGGCCGGGAGGAGAGAGGGTCGGGGTGCGGTCGCTCGCGTGGACTTCTGTGCCGCGCCTGTTGCGGCTGCGGCGGCTCTTTGGCCGCCGGCATTTGCCCTCGCGGTTTGTGCGGGTGCCCCTCTGTGCTTGCCTGCGCTGGGGGGGGGCCTTGCCCGCCCTAGGCGTACCGCGGGTTCGTCTCAGGGTGTTTTGTTTGCCCTGGGGGCCTCGTGCTGTCTCGTGACGAGATGGTGCGACTCGAGGCTCTGCTGCTACAGATGGCCACTGGTTCAATGTGAAAAAACGCTAACTTTGCAGGGTTACAGGCTGGGGAGACTGGAGAGGACGTTGGTGAATTGTAACGATGATGATTGGAATCCAAGAATCCTTATCTCAATCCTCCATGCCTACTTCACGTGCCTCCACCCAGTTCACCCTTCCGCTTCCTGCCCCCTGCTTTTTGCCCTCCTGCCCTTCCCCTTCCCTCCTCGCCCCCGTTTCACGCGTCCAGCTTCCTCCGCTGGTACTAGACCGCGTCTGCCTGGTGGTGTCGCCCCTCATTAGTCTCATGGAGGACCAGGTAGCTGCGCTCAACGCAAGACGCATCCCCGCTGCTTTCCTGGGCAGCGCACAGGGCAGCAGGTAACCCCGGTTACGGGTGGTCGGGTAGGGATAGCGACTTTCCTGCTTGGCGGTTGGTTGAGGGGCGGGTTGAGGCGGGCACGTGGCTGGCGATATGAGTCGGTGTTGCCTGGCAATGCATCCGCAGCGGTATGGCAGCAGCAACACACGCTCCACGACCTAACCAGTTAGGTTTCTTGTTTGTAACTTGGAACCCTTCCTAATGATGCTCCAGGCAAGTCAAGGAGGACGCATGGGCGGGCAAGTACCTTTTTGTGTACCTCACACCCGAGCTGGCCATCTCCTCCGGCCCCGCCCTGGCGGCGCTGCATGCCAGGCGGGGCGTGGCGCTGGTGGCGGTGAGTGTGAGATAGCGGAGGCGGTGGGGGATGGGTGGGAGTGGTGACTACTGACCTTACGTGTTGGAGAGGTTGAGGAATGCGCACATGGGGGCGGGCATTACTTTGCAGCCGCTTTAGGACCCTAACATAGCACCTAACTCAAGCAGTTCTTGCCGCCAGGCGTCTGTGTCTATGGCCTAACATCTCCACTCTTCACCCTCTGCTCCACAGATCGACGAGGCGCGTGAGTGGGTTTGCGCGCGTTGTATCCGTATGGCGTTCGACAGCGCTCCACGCGGCCTCCGTTGTTATTACGGACGGCATAACGGGGCTGGTACAGACGTCCATCACGGTTTTACGGGTGTTTTCCCTTCAATCGGTTACGCATCCCTCACATGCCACAGTCATAGCTCCTGGATACATGCAGTTAGTCGGAGGGTTGCCTGACGCCCCTGTCGTCCGCTTGTGCCACGCAGATTGCGTGTCGGAGTGGGGTCACGACTTCAGGTAACTGCAGCCGGGGCCATCTGGGTCAACGCCATACACCTAGACCGTACGGTAACGCCTACATAAACCCCGCTATGGCCGTCATGCCTTTCTCTCTGTTCAAAAGGGCGGGCGGGCTCATAGCGAGCGGGCTCATACGCCTTAAGGTACTGCACTATGAGTGGTCGCCCATTGCGCGCCATATGCCCAACACGCACGAGCCTCCCGCTCACCTCGCCATGCTGGTCTCCTCAAACCCAAGCACCCTTCTCCGTCCTCCTGCTGCGTCCCCCAGGCCCGACTACCGGCGGCTGGGAGTGCTGCGGGACTCACTGCCCGGTGTGCCGCTGGTGGCGCTCACCGCCACCGCCACCCCCAGGGTACGAAATGACATCCTCCGAAACCTGGACATGCGGCCTGGAGCAGGGTGAGCAGCGGGGCTGCAACGGCTTATGGTAGTACCCTTGCGTGCATGACACGTGGGCATGCGGACAAGTGTAATACGGTAGCCTACTGCTGCGGGAACTATCTGTGAAGCTTACCGCTTGTTGATGGCGTTGACAGCTGTCTCCTAAACACCCCGAAACATTTTCAGTCGGCTCTTCTGCCCCCAACTCAGGGTCTTTGTCGAGTCTTTCGAGCGGCCCAACCTGCACTTTTCCGTGCGGCAGAAGACCAGCATCTCGGACGCTGTGGCGGATCTGGTGGCCACTAAGAAGCGCAAAGGAGAGGTAAGAACCCTAACAACGCCGCTCGGTTTACCGCATCCTTTTTAACCTTGCATTGCATGGAAGCCGTGCATGCTTCAGGCGGAACCCAGTACTCTCTTAACTGCTGTACGCTAAAACTTCCGCATGCCTCGTCTTTTCTCCGCCCACCTCCGTCCTGCCCCGTCCCTCATTTGCCTCCTCGTTCCCTGCGCCCACAGATTCCCTCCACCCTCATCTACGCGCTCACTACCCGTGAAGTGGACGAGATTGCTGCCTACCTCAATCAACCCACGGTGCGGGGGAGGCTGCGTGGTTGCAGGCTTCTGGTTTGCTAGCCGGCTTGCTACCCATGCGGGAACCTCCACCGCCATGCAGGGTTCCTGCTGCCAGGCTGTCCGTCACTGAGAACGACACCCGCGCCCGGGTCCCCCTTTGTTGTGCGCCCCGACTCCCTGTTGCACTTTCCCTACGTTCCCATTCGCATTTCCCATCTGGGTCGGTTCTATCGGTACGTTCCCGCTCCTTTTTCCATCTGGGTTGGGCCCCGATCATCTCGTCCTGAGTCATTTTCTTGTCCCATCTCGCAGGTCCTGAACGGCCGAGCGGGGCGGTACCATGGCAAGATGTCGGCATCAGAGCGACGAGAGGTAGCACGCGGGAGCCCACAAACGGCAGAATGCCTATGGGTCATTGGGGACCAGGTCACCACTTCTGGCTTGCTTGTCATGTTGTCAATCCTCAGTCAACGCAGAACACTTGCTTGTTTCTTTCCACTTAGGCGTCTCTGTTAACCTGGTGTCGTGCTCGACTTACCCCTCCCCTCTGATGCTGTACTGTGCTATGCCGTACAGTCCCATGCGGCCTTCATGCGGGACGACCTTGATGTGCTGGTGGCGTCCGTTGCCTACGGTTAGTTAGCGACGGTGTGAGGGTGGAGACTTGGTAAACCAAAGTTGACCTGGGTAGCATGTGCTGAGCACTGTATGCTGCTCAACAAGCGCCAACAAACCCAGCGTGGCGGCCTTTATCCACTCCTGCGCTGCTACCGTTCTGTGCTTTCCGGGCGCGAATGATCCTCCTCGTTCCCCACGGTGGCTTCTTTCCGCTTCTTTCTTTCCTCCAGGCATGGGCATCGACAAGCCCAACATCCGCACCATCCTGCACTGGGGCTGCCCCGCTTCCGTGGAGGCTTACTACCAGCAAGCGGGCCGCGCGGGGAGAGACGGAGCCAAGTCCAGGTGGGAGCCCGGGCTCCCATGCCTGCAAGCTCCTTGACTGCGGGTTTGGGAGCATAAGGCTGCATTGGGTATCCGGTTCTCTCCCCTCTTGTCCTTCCCGCATTCAGCGGCTACTGCAGACGGCTGCATGCCCCTGCCTGTCCTGGCCCGGAGATGCATCGCTGCCTTCACGGGTACGGGCGGCGCGGTAGCCGCAAGGAACCCGCGCTTACTGCGCCCATGGTGCCTGAGTCCACGCTAGCCAAACCCGCCCCTGACCTCCCGCTTCCCACCGCACGCAGGTGTGTGCTGCTGTGGAGCGCAGGCGATGTGGTGACGTTGTCGCGGATCAAGGAGTCGGAGGGGCTGAGTGCGGAGGGGCGAGCCAACCTGCAGGAGGCCATGACCAAGATGCAGGTGCGGGGAAAGAGGGCGGGAGGGGGTGGGGGTAAGTTAATGTCGCTGGGGTGGGGGGTTAGGAAGAAACCACAGAAGGGGAGGTAACAGAAGGATGTGGTGGCTGTAGTGTTACGGTAGATTGGTGTTGATAGCCCGCGTTCCGCCTCCCTCCCTCCCTCCTTCCCTCCCTTTCTCCTTCCTTTCCGCCCCAGGCCTACTGCAGCGGCACCGGCTGCCGACATGCGCAGCTGGTCAACTTCTTCACGGAGGGAGCGCTTCCGCCGCAGGTATACTGTTAGTTCCGTTAGCCAGGTAGACGGATGTGGCCCCTGACAGGACGGCAGAGAAGCAGTTGCCAGAGGTCGCAGGATGCACAGGGAGGGCTAGGCGCTTCGGTAGTTTCGTACAGGAGTTGAAGTCGCGCAGCGTGCGTGTAGTAGTTGGTCCCCGTACCGGAGTTGGAGAAGTGCGCTTAACAAGTGTTGTAAGTTCTTGGCTGGCTGGCTGGCTGGTGTGCTGGCTGGCTGCAGGGTCCCTGCCGCGGCGGTTGTGATGCATGCGACCGGCGGAGCGCTGGAGAGGTGTCGGCACGCGACATTGGAGACGAGGTGCGTGAGGCACGGGCAGGGGGCGCGGAACTACGGTACCGTAAGTTAAGGGACGTCAACTGGAAGTGAGCAGGTGGCATGGTGCTAGCATCGTGGGTAGGGTACGCACGAAAGATATGCGGGGCTTTCGGCCCCCAACCCACATTACTGTGTCGTCATTGCCGGTGTTGCTGTCGCTAACATGCTTTTCTTCCGGTTTCGCATGGCCCTTTTCTCCAACTGCCCTGCCTTCCCGCTTTACCCCCGCTGGCAGGCCCGGCTGATGCTGAGTGCCGTGGCGGGACTGCACAACAAGTACGGCATGAGCCGAGCCGTACAGCTGCTGCGGGGCTCGCGATCCAAGGAGCTGGCGCCCTGGATGCTGGAGGCCACCCACCTGGTCACGGGAGGTACGACTCGTGCCCGCTCGTGAGCGCTTTTATAATGTGTGTAAAAAGGCTGTTATCAACCCCTTCGTACCAGCAACCTACCCGTGTGCATGTGCATGGTAGCCAAGCCCCTGCGATAGTCCTGTAGTCTGTAGTCCACTCCACTCCTGCCGCCGCGCCGGTAACGTCCGGTCCCTCCTCCCTCCTTCCCTCCCTGGGATTGGAACTCCAGTTGCTGCACTTCTCGTTTATGTTTTCTCTCCCTGCCTGCCTGCCTGCCGTGTTCCCGCAGCCAAGCTCCACGGGTCCGGCAGCTCCCGCAGCGACGGCTGGTGGAAGGGGCTGGGCGGGCTGCTGGCGGCGGAGGGGCTGCTGCAGTACCACTCGATGGGGGACTTCCAGGTGGTGCGGGTGGCGGAGCAAGGTGCGGGTTGGGTGGGTAGTTGCAGGAAGGGGTGTGGAGCGATGGGGCGGAGGGTGTGAGGGTTGGGTCGGGCAGGAGGAGGTGGTGGGGAGTCGGGGGCTGGGGGCCGGGTTAAATTTAATATGTGTGTTGTGTATGGGCAAGCTGCTGCTGCTAGGGTTATGGGCTCCGGGCTGGTTGGGAGGGATACTTGCATGTGTGCTGTTTTCCCATCAATTCCCTTCCTCTGCATGCAGGTTCTCCCCATGCTGACAATCCTCAACCCACACCGCTGCACCACCCATGCATGCACTACTTATTCCCCCGATTATTCTTCCCCATGCCTGCCGGCACGCTGCCTGCCTGCCCTGCTGCAGGATCCCGGTGGCTGCGCAGCGGGGAGCCGCTGGTCCGGGAGCTGCCGGCAGCGCTGATGGTGAGGGAGGGGCGGGTAACGGGTCCCAAACCCTGACTGACCACGTCAAATTCTCGGTGGGCTTGGGAAGGCTGGAACTCGCTGGGCTCAGACGTATGCCCAGCTTCCCTCCAAACCGCGACTCCCTACTACTCCCTGCCAGGAGGAAGAGACGCGGGCGCAGCGGGAGGCGCAGGCACGACAGCGGGCGCTAGAAGAGCGGCAGCAGGTACGGTGCGGGGGGCGCGGAAGCGTGGGGGAATCGAGAAAAGGCTCTAGTGACTATGCAGTGCGCTCACACAGGTCCGTATAGGCCTTGCATGCCGCCTGACACGCCCGTGTGTGACGCTGCACCTCCCGCTTGCCGTGCCGTACGTGTCTTGCCATGCCGTACATGTCGTGTCATGCCGTACATGTCTTGCCATGCCGTACATGTTGCGCCATGCCGTACATGCCGTGCACACAGGCCGCCACTGCGGAGGCTGATGAGCTGGAGGCGCTCCGGAGGGCCCTACGTGAGGAGCGCAAGCGAGTGGCAGATGCGCTGGGGCACAACGTAAGAGCACATGGGGTGCCTGGATTGGGGTTGGTAAATGATGCGGGGCCGAGTATGGGGAGGGGGCAAACCAGGTGCACGTGTATCATTCCTGCTCAGCAACTCTTTCCTACCTTCCAAATTGGGACGGTCGCCAAACCCCAGGAACCCTTACCCTCTTCCTCTTCCCCCGTCAAAACCCTGGCCCTCCTCCCCCTCCTTCTTTCTCTTCCCTTCTTCCCCGCTCCCCCGCTTCTTATGCGGAATCTGTATCCCTATTTACCCCCGCCTCCCCTCCCGCAGGCCCCCGACACGCTGGTGAGCGACCTAACGCTGGACTCGCTGGCCCGGCTGCGGCCCCAGGAGGCGGCGCACGTGCGGCTGGTGGGCGGCATGGGGCAGGCGGCGGTGGAGCAGTTCGGGGAGCCGCTCATGAGGGTGAGAGGAGAAGAGGGGGGAGGGAGAACCATAGCTGACTATGTCATGAGGGTGAGGGGCGGGGGTAAAGAGGGAGACCCTGACTGTATAGCAAGGCCTAACCTTGGGGTGCAGGGTGAGGGTGGGGGGCCGAGGTCTTGAAGGTGCATGGTTGGGTTGTGGGTGTGGCACATGCTAGCTGCTAGATACCTATACATACACTACATATACTTAAACTTACCGTACGCGTCCTTTTTCCGAACTGCCAGGTCATCCGTGCCTTCATGGCAACCGCTCAGCACCTCGGCCGAGCACCCGCAACCGACTGGATAGCGGCTGGCCGCAACCGAAGTGGTTGCAACCGTTTGCTGGCAAGTTCCGGAGCTGCAGGGGCAGGAGGAGGTGCTTCGGGTGCCGGTGCAGGCGGCGGTGGAGGCGGTGGAGGAGCAGCGCTGGAGGCATGGCGTACGGCAGCCCGGCGGATAGTGAGCGAGCCCAAGGGGGCTGCTATGGAGGCGGGGAGCCAGTGGCAGGTGATTGTGTTACATCAATCGGATGTGTCCCCTGTACTGGCATGTATGTATAAGGGGCATTGCGGACCGCTTTAATGCCTTCTCAAGTTGTCATGCAGCCTTGTATTCCGGCGTACGATGTCCTAGCACGGCATTGTCGTGGCCGTACCGTGCAACGCCATTGTTGCGCCGAGCCCTCTCGTCAGCCCTGTCGCAGTAACTCGTCCGCCGTGCATGTGTGCGTGCTACACATTGGCCCTCCTGCAGAGCGGCATGACCGCTGCAGACATCGCCACCAACCGGCCCCGACCCATCGCCATCAACACCGCCTTAGGTGCGGGCACGTTTCCCTTTTCTTTGTTTCCCGTGTTTGGCTCCCCGCGGGCCCACTAGAAAAGCATGGACGAATGGGCGGCTGTGCATGACGGGATGGGGACTTGATGCCGCCCGGATAAGCTCTCAGTATACCGGGGGTGGCGTGCTATGATGCCAGCCCTTCTATGCTCCAGGTGCTGCTGCCCTCCTCCTGTCGCAGGCTATGTGGCGGACTGCATGGCCGCGGGACTGGCTGGCGACCCGGCGCGTCTCGCATTGGAGGCGGGAGTAGAGCGGGATAAGGCCTTGCCGGTGAGCGGGGATGAGGGAAAAGTGCATCTGCTCGGGAATGCTCATACAAATACCCAACCCCCTTTGCCGCCCATACCCGGGAGACACGCCTTGCGCTTCAGCGTCTATCCTAGCCCAAGCAGGTCCCCCGCTACTTGTCGCAAATACCGCCGCCATGTCAATCCGCAGTAGCTATTCGCCTCCTCTTGACTGTTGCTTGCTTGCTGGTCTTCCTTCCTTCCTGCCCAGGTTGCCAGCGCCATAGCGGAGCACGCGGAGGGCGGCATCGGAGCCGTGAAACGCTTCCTGGACAGCACCGGCAAGCCCACGGAATACGGCCAGATAAAGGTGTGTTTTGGGTTTACCTTACAATTGAGCTCGAGCATTGCCATGCAGTGTTATGTTACTTGCACTTGATGGTGAAACTCCCACGCACGGCTGAGCACTTATTACCATGCCTGATACGCGCATGTTGCTGCGCCACTCGTCATTACATGTCTTCAAGGCCCACCCATGAAGGTGCATTCTTACTAACCACATCCCCTCCTTCCTTCCTTCTTCTTCCTTAACCCTGCACAGGTGGTGGCGGCCCTTATTGCCAGCGGCTCGCTGTGGTTCGCTGACGGCCAACTGCTTGCGGAAGTGGAAGCAGCAGCAGGTGCACCCAGACAAGACCCACCTCCCACGCCCGCGTCCGCATCTCCATACCCTGTCCACACTCCTCAAGGCTCGCACGGCCCTCAACCATCGCCCCTACAACAGCAGCAGCAATCATTGCAGCGGCAGCAGTCGCAGCAGTCGCAGTCTCCGTGGCCACCCGCGCAAGGGGAGGCGGCGTCGGACTGGATCAGCCTGCGGGGCTCGCGAGGTAGGGGGGAGGCTGCCGCGATCGCCGGCGTCAGTCCCGGGCCGCAGCAACAGCAGCAAGGCACAGCCGGTACGGCAACAGGGGCGCCATCTCCTGCCGGACCGTACGGTAAACCGCCGTTGCCGTACAACGCATGCAATAGCAGTTACAACGGTACAACCACCGGTGGGTCCACAGGGTTAGTAGTAACCGCGGGTTTGGACGGTATCAGCGCTGCAGCGTCAACAACCGCCCCTGGCACAACATCTCCGGACGATTCTGGCGCTGCTGCTTCTGCCTCCGCCACGACCAACGCGGGGTGCCCTCCCTCCATGACAAGGCCTTGCCTTAGCACCAGCAGTGGCGGAAGCGGCACCGGCATTGCAGGCGGCGGCTCTTCGCAGGACTTTGCGTTTGACACCAACGCTGCATCGCAGAGTGACACGCCGAACCTGTTTGTCTGCAGCCCGCCGGGAGGCACCGCAAGCGTGAATCTTGCCTCAGCCAGCACCGCCTCCCAACCCCAGCCCTCCCGACCACCACAGCAGCAGCAACACCAACAACAGCAGAGGCTTCCCGGTACAGCTGCTGGGACAGCACCTGTGGCTTCCAATGCCTCCTACCGCCCACCGCTGATCACCGGCGTCAAGCGAACCCTGCCTTCCTTCTTCAGCGGCGGTCAAGCGACGAAGCGACCCACGGGTCCAGCTACCGCTACCGCTACCCCATTGGGGGCGACGCCGATTGCTGCTGCTGCTGCTGCGCCAAAGCCGTCGGCAGCAGTAGCAACGCCTGTCGCGACGACTCCCGCCGTGCTGCGCGCCATCAGCCGAGAGGACGTGTTGTCGCTGCTCCGGAACCAGGGACCCATGACGGCTGTGTCCCTGGCGGCCCAGCTGATGTGCGGAGTTGCTGACGAAGGCTGTGCTGTGGAGGGGCGCAGCACAGCCAGTCACGGCATGGAAGGCAGACGGCAGCAGCTGCGGGTGGTGTTACAGGACCTGATTGGGGATTTTGAGGTGATGCGTCAGGGCTCTGGCAGCATGCAATCGGAGGTCAGCTTGGAGGATGAGGACACGACGTTCCAGATCCTTTAAGCGTCGTGTTGACCGTATAGAGAAGAAATTCGGAACACGCAGGAGTATGTGGCTACTTAGGTTATCTTATCGGGCTTGGGCTAGGTTACACCCTATTGCAGCAGGAAGGCAGTTTTGCGCCCTCAGAGAGGGTATTGGGGGGGGAGTGCCTGCAGAGGCCATGTGTCTGCGGAGTCTTACAGTCATTCTGTACCCAGCAGGCTCGGTTGCTGGCAGACTATTTGTTAGGTCAGTTATGTTTCTTCAAGCATGCATGCATACCTCTCGTACACGAAACGAAGGGCATGCATGTGAGCTGCGCGGATGTTTTTAAAATGGCAGAGACCCTCTAGGTCTGGGATGTATGCCTGAAAGATGGGGCTGGTGCGGATGTGTCCTGCTACACCACAGGCCAGTTAAGTGCCGGAAACCATTGGCAGGTAGTTGCTGCAGGGTTAATCTGTTTAGGAACCCCAGAGCGCCTGGAGTGTATGCCGTGCAAGCGGTCGAGTTCCTGCGTATCTGGTTGATCAACACGGCTACACCGGTACACCAGGTAGAAGGGCAGCCATCGT